GGAAAAGAGAAAAAGCTTGATGAATATCCATTAAGATTATCAATATTAAGATCTCTTCAGATTAAGATTTCTTCTATAATGAAAAATTAAAACCTAGTTTACACATTTTATTTGGTTACAATGAAATACACAGGGAATTAAGTTTTTTTTTTTTTAAATCTTCTATTAAAATAGTATGAAAAATAAATTCAGGAAGCACAGCTTTCTTGAGGTAAAATTCGTGCAGTTCAGATCACCCGGTACACGGTCCAAGTTGGACGAGTTGAGTCGAGGGGCCTAGCGATGCCCGAGTGGGTGGAATTCCAGCGTTGCCAGATTTTTCATCTTCTCTTTCACTCCATCTCTCCGTCCCTCTTGCCGCCAAACGCTCTCAATCTCTCTCTCTCTCTCTCTCTCTCTCTCTCTCCTTTTCTCTATTTATCTATTTATCTATCTATCTATGTACCATTATCATTCCATTTCCTTTTCCCCTACCATCTCTATAGAACTACAACTATTGCTCTTATTCTGTGACTCACGATTGTTTGTCAACATTATATACAATACATATATAGATATATGTGCGGCGCACATTTAGAATTTATCAATGCATTTTCACAAGGAAATTGGAAAATGTGGGTCAACATGAACAAATTAATGCACCATTTTCAATTGCCACAATGCCTTTCGGACTTTTTTCCAAAATATTTTTATATATAGTAATGTATTATATAATTATTTTATATGTACCTAACAATTTTATTAAACCTTAAAATAGCACTTTTTTTAATGAAATTTCGTTAAATTAACTATTTAATCGATTAAATAAAATGATAAATTTTAAAATAAAAAGAAGTGAGTAAAGAAAATAAGTAACTGTCGAAGAATCCAGTTTATGAAAATAAGGTATATTATATAAAAACAAAATGTGGCATTTTTATTCAAACCTTGTACGTCAGCAAATCAAAGACACGTTGAGAAATTAGCCATGCGGCTATTAACGAACGAAATCAAGCTCATAACGCATTATCGAAGGCTATCAAAGACCCCATTGATTAATATTTGAATTCGCAACTGCGTATTTAGATCTGTGTCCACAGAGATTAAACACTGATTCGATTATAACGGGACAAAGATAATCGAATTAAATGGAAATCCCTTGTAATAGTACGACTTAAAGGTGAAACATGCGTAATAACGCTCCACCGAACAATTCGTCATCGATGATTTACCGCAAAAAGTAACTAAAAGCGGTAAGAAAGAGAGTAAAGGGGATAGCCATCTGTACTGGTCGATCTCATCCACTCGAAACAGCTATAACGAATTTGTTTTTAATTCGATTTTAATTAAGTAGTTGACTAAGTAAAGGGGAACATACACAATATAACGTAGAAATCTTAATAGTACGGACTACCGAATTTATTTTTATTTACATATCGTATTGCATCGAATTTTTATCGGCTGCTGAATTTTTATTTAATTTGCGAAGCATAATCTTTATTATCCGTACAGTAAGTGAAGTTAATTTTGTTAATGCATGTATTAAAAAACAACCATCCCAATAATGTTACTTTTGTATGATTGGATGACTTTTGAAGAAATTGCATTGATGCAAAGCAAGTAAATATATTAATTAATGTTATATCAACTTGAATGGTTCTGTCTCTACGTGAACGCCTTTTTCTTAAACATAATCATGAAAGTGTTCTTACATTCCGAAATCCTTAACAAATTGGTCTACTAATGTATTTATGTGCAGTACATAATTTATATCTCTTAAAAAAGTATTTGTATTTTTTGTATGCTGGTGCATACCTACTTTACAAATACACGCCTTTATGCATTGACACAATTTAGAGCATTATCAGAGTTATATTACCATGTGTATAAATTTATATTATCTTTGATTTAAACAACCAGTTTATTTGCGGATAACTGTATATCGATCACGAAGTTCAGGAATTTAAATTTTTGGAAAGATTTTGCCAATTTAATTAACACTTAAAATTATAACACACTTTACTTATTTGTTAATTTGTAATAAATTTGAATAAATTGTAAGGTAATTGTATAAATTTTAAATCTTCAAACATTTTTTTTTTTAATACACTTGCATTTAAAATTATTTGAAAAATATGCCCGTTTTAAAAAGAATTTCACTTTAGCTAAATTATTTTATGTTATAGCCATAAGGATGCCAAAAATAAGTGCTTTATTGAAAGGAAGTAAATGTCACAATATGTAACAGTAATTTTATTTACGATTGAAGGATATAGTAAAATATGTGGTTTTGCCTTCATATACATTTTTTTTTTGTCAAAATGAATGCCCTCTTACTTTAAGAGACCAATAATACATTATTAATAGTTCTAACTTTATATGAATCAGTTTTAAATGTCTTTATATTAAAAAAAAATAAAATAAAAACAAAATAAAATTATAAAGCATTACCTTATATCTGAAATAACCTAATTCTTTTATCGACCAACCAATTTTTTATCACTATTAATCAAAGTGTACATAAACGTGTCAAAAAGTCATATATATAAGCTGAAATTAATGGAGAAGAATTTTTTCGAGGGTAACGATTGTGTGAAAAATTCATCAAGATAACCAGTATTAAATATATATCCAGCCATCCATAATTTTATACACACAAGCGTATAATATACCTATTTTCTTCGCATCGAGTCACATATTATTTTTTCTATTAAATCTGCTTTTCACTCACAAACTATTTTTCGTCTCGAGCTTCTCATTCGATTTTTAATATATTTATTTATCGAATTGACGAAAAGATAACGCCTATTTTCCTTTTTTAAACTTTGTGCCATTTAATAACATTTTTCGTTAGTCAGTAATATTGCTTTACGTATTTTTCATACATTACTATTTTGTGAATTGTTATTTGTATATATTACGAAAGTAAGTCATTTTTCATTTAATGAAGTATCAATAAATGCAAATTAAGTTGTAAGCTTGGTAAGCACTTTTTTTAGTGTTGGAAAATGAGCAAAAATAAACGATCACGGCTAAAACCGATTAAAATTTGTTATCGTCATAAAAATAACTGTACGTTAAGATAAGTGTTTAATGTAACTTCGTTAACTATCCATATTTATAGACTGTAGGCAGTCACCTTACACTAGTAGAAAGAAACATCGATATTTATTTCTACTTTTGTTTTTAAAATTTTCATAGGTACCGCTTTTCTAAGATGCATTCGTAGGGTCATCCACGGAATCACTAAAGTTCAAGTAAGAGAAATATGAATTAAAAGCTGATGAAATTAATGTTTAATATCGAAGCGCCTTCTCTTACTAGAGCATACGAAGTTTATGATAAAATGCGATTGAACTACTTTTCTAAGAAGCAGTATTATTATAAAGCATTAATGCTTGTGCGTCATCATTGGAAATGGCAGTTTTTGCCATTTGTATGGTATATGCATTACGACTCGGGGATGCTTGATCTTAGACCACTTTATTCTACAATTCGAAGAAGAGCGATTCGATGCAACCAGTACAATCAATTACAGAGAAAGTCAATGGGACCAGTGACCAGTGGCAAATTTTACTCACGACTCGGGATTCGATGTCGAGGCTGTGGTCGCGTCTCCGTTTGCCAAGTATCGGCGTACATATGAACATGTCCATGGAGGAGGTGAAATTCCTATCTCTCCTCATGGAGTCGAGGCTTCTGACGGCTGCCGCTGCCGCGGTTTCGTACAGCTGCTTCAAAGCCCGTGGCCGCGTGTCCAGGGTGAACAGGCATTTCTTCGTTTCGTTCGACAGCCGGAAGTGATCCGTACGCAGAGCGAAAGTGCAGATGTCCGACTCGGCTGCAACAGAAATGCCATTTTTAATGGATGGTTTTTTGTAGGGAAGAGACGGAGGGAAAGGGCAGCAGAAGTATGAAAAGGAGGAGTCTTGCGTGACAGGGAGGAAAAGCAAGAGACTAAAGTGCGTCAGGGAGAGGTTTAATTTTGGTTGATAAATGCACACCCTCTTCCTTTTCTGGTACTTGCGGGCCACTTGAAAGAAAATTAGAGGGATACGTTCCCATGATAAACGTATTGATATTTCATTATTAAAGCAAATAATAAATCAATTAGCTTACAGGATAAAAAATTTTGAACTTTAATTGATTTTGAAATTAATCCTTCAAGCATTTGAAACTAGTAACATCATATAAAATGTAGATTCAGCCAAATAAATAAACGAGTAACCAAAATAATTGAGAAAGTAAATGAGCAATATAATTAGATTTAATGGTATTGTTTACATTGTATATAAACATATGTATATCATTTATAATATTTACATAAAAATTAGATCTTTTTAAGCAATACAATAGAGAATCTAATCTCAGATTAGTTACAGTAAACATGATCAAGATTATTGACACCCATGTTGTTGCTTATAAAAGTGCATATCGGCATCAGATCAATGAATGGAAAACTTAGCTTAGACATGATTTTCCAAACCTGATCTATACACATACGTTACATCTAATCATTTCTCTTTGTCTTCAATAGTTTTCATTATAACATGAAGTTAATCGCGAGTTGATCAGTCTCAATAATACGAGGATTACAGTTTATTTATTATAATTAAATGATTAAAAAATAGTTTTCTTCGAATAAAGAAATATTATGTATTTTTAAGTATTTTAAGTATTTTTATTTTAAGTATCTTCAATTAAATAAAGAAATAAAAAAAAATAAAAATATATACTGCGTTGCCATTATATATTTCATAGTTTTATTGAAATCTAATATAAAAAAGTGGGACATATTTTTAATATAATAAATAAATTTTAGCAAATCTTACTATATTTTTTATGTTTAAAATTATAAAGAAACTAAAAAGATTAATTTCAGTATTAAATTACTACTAAACAAAAGGAAATAAGCACATCGCTTAGATATTGCACTGGTAAATTAATTATATTTTTCTAAATACACATTACACTTTTAAGATTGAAATTAAATAATTGTTAGAACTTATATTATCTCTGGTATCAGATGGACAATAAAAAAGAATGGGAAATAATATTTTGAATACATTTTTAAATAGTATAATTTTATACAAGTCTTTTTGCAAACTATTTTCTTACTAATACCAAATATTTATATTTACCGTTATATCGTTTTATTAAAATATTACAAATAGTCTCACATAATAAATATATAACGATTTATGTTTTTTATATAACTGAGATACACAATTTTTAAACATTAATATAACGAATGGGCAAGAATATAGAATTAATTTTTATACTACTAATATCTATATCTTAAACACAATAAGGTAATTAAAATTAAATCGATAGCGACGCTTAATTCATGATTCATGTCAAAAGCTATTCAAAACAATAATTCTCTTGATGGTTCAAATTTGATAGCGATTCTTTGATATTTGGCGAAAAGACTTGCGAATTATATGGAAGCCATCGAAGGTTCACAACTGTTACAACTAGAAGCGCATCCAAAATGTTAAATTTCTATCTCTTTTGCCAAAAAATTAGACCTTTCTTAAATTGTTTAAATGAACATATTGCACTTAAGTATGAAATAAATAACAAGTTATTTGCTAATTTTTAATATTATCTCAAGATGAATATGTTTCATAATAATTAAAAATTTGATTATATTTAAAATCGAAGTGTTTTCTGACAGAAAAGTTTTGTAACATAATAAAAATTGCTGTCTTTTAAGGGGTAGGTTTGCAATTATTTAATATATCCATGATTTTATGATTACAGTTTATAATAGTATTTCTTTTAATCTATTCCTAGTCTAGTGTAATTACAGTTTTAACTAATCTTAAGAACTTTAAATCGTTCTAAAACATCTGTAAATATCTAAAGAAACAGTATTTATTTATATTTGATTATCACATATAATTTTAAAAAGAATCTATACGACAAAAAATACATATTTCATTCAAATATTGTGTAACGACAACTGCTTTCGATTGATCAATATTTTGAATGATCTCTTTCGCATATATTCATGTACGCACGCGTGAATACCACCCCCCCCTCTTTATTATTCACATAATGTAATTTACGCTATCGCTTTTTTCATTTTTTTCAGTTTCTAGATCTTCACTTTATTTTACAGTACTAATTATGTTATTTGTGTAATGTTGAATATTTATTTTCGATATTTCTTTTGTTTTATGATCTTAACAGAAATATTTTTCATCTTAGTCATTAATATTTTAAAATCACTCTTATTTTCACTTCTTGTACTCGTAAATATCAAATACATAACTTTCTTTATTAAATATTAGCACTTTTTTAAGGCTTTCTTTTCATCTTTCCGTTTTACTTGTTTTTCTCATACTTTATCTTGCAGTACAGATGAAGGATAAAGTATTTACTTAATATATATGAAGGATATACTTAAGACTTATTTAGAATCTTGAAAATATTTCATCAGCGTTAAAATCAAACTTGACATTCTACTTCATTTAAGAAGAAATTGAGAATTTTTCAACTTGTTTCATTATCGTGTATATATTAAAATCCTTACGAATTGAGATTTTCGTTTTCGTTATAGAGCATTATCTCTTACAATTAACAAAAAATCATGAATATTTAGTAAAATTCATTAATTATATATTTTTTGATTAATTAAATAAGATTTAGAAAAAGATTGATTTTATTAGCAATAGTGAATAACAATTAAATATAAAACTTGTATACATTATTTCTAAAACTTATTTGCATCATGAATGATTTTATCAGATAATAAATTATAAATTGAACATTTTCATTACTACTTTGAAAGCTATGTATTAGTTGCTCACCATTGCTTTCTAAAAATAGTCGGCTTGAAATTTATGTTCACTAATACTTATGTTATTGCAATTAACGGTTACAAGTGTAATGTACTACATTTTCTTAAATTCGTTCTTATTTTTGTCAATTTTTTGTAGTTGAATGACTACATTTTTTCTAACAATTTTATAAAATTATTGTCGAGATCAATCATTACTATTAATAGAGTCTCATTATATTTTGTATGCCATATCGTCACAATGTATAGTTAAAAATCAAGATCTTAGAAAAATTGAGGTCAAGGAGACATTCGGTTAAAACATTCATTTATGAATTACGAAAAAGTTATATAAAGCAATCACATGTACATACAATACATTATGATTTTACGTTACGTTTTTATTATCGTTATCAATGACATGAGAGCAAGATGTATGTTATTAAAAATTGTAATTAATTCGTGTATTATTATGAGATGTCGATTAATTGCCACCGGAAAATAGGCGACTCTCTTTATCGATAAATCCTTATTCCACGATATTTGCACGAACGTAAACACGCAAGAAATCGGATTAGACCTTCAACCCCCGCAACAGCTTGTTTATGAATTTCTTTTCTTTATTACACACACGCGCGTATAGACTTCTTTGCTGGATGTTTGCTCGCTGCCTCCCTAATTTCGAACTTCGTTTACTCCAAGGATTGGAGCCCCTCTCTCTCCCTTACCACTCTTTCTCCACCATCTTGCCGCATTATGTCTTTATTTCTACATGTGTCTTGCCCATTACAAGCCCCCCCCCCCACC